TTGAATGGTGATTCCGCGAAATTAACGTTATAAAACATCAAAGCTAATATAAATAACGTTTTTTTTAAGAAAAAATGTAATCCACGGGCATATTATAATATTGTATAGCTTTTGTTGATAATATTTAAATTTGATTTAAACTTTAAACACGGTTTTTGAAAAGCGTTTTCGTGGCTTAATACTAATTACCGGAAAAGTTAAGAAAAAATAAATTAGGTTAAATAACATTTTTTTTTGTGTTTATACAATTATTTTTACTTTTGCAAGTTTGATATTTTTAATATGAAAACTCGATTTAAGGTTTTGCAAAAAAAAAATACCACAATTTTACTTACTAATATAGTATTATACTTAATAGTCTAAACAAAACACGCGGAACCTTCATAAGGCCACACTGCATTTTGGGATACATATTTTGGAACACAAAAATTATCTTACGCAAATGTCAATTGATAAGATTGTATAAAGCTCGAACTACGTTCCTCTAAAACTAGCAAAATAATTATTAAAAAATAATATTGTCTTGTAAACGATTTAAAATGTTGCCCTGTAACGGTACCACAGCTGGAATAGAGACGGTTTGCATAATATTAAAAATATGTATTTTGCAGAACCGTAACATCACCATAATAAGTCATACGTTATCATAATATTAAGTATTATATAAAAAATTAGTCCTTAGAAAGTCAGAACAGTCGTTTAGACGACACGGTCCGCGATGGACCGAGTAAAAGACAATATATACGAAGCTTGGCAAACTTTAGTAACGCGGAATACACTACTAATGGTTTCACCAAACTTGTGTGCTTGTTCAATTATTTTTATAAATTCGAGTGATTCCGGTAAAAATTATGTCCCGTGAAGTGACAATTATAATTATCACAATGAAAAATAACCTTGTTAAAATTGGTAAAATTTACTGCACAGTTCTAAATAAGTGCCCCGCTACAAACACTATTGTGCCAACATTTTCACAATTAATTTCAACAGCTTATTTCTCATACTCCGTGACCGGGCCAAATACAAGTAATAAACTGCCAAAATATAAAAAAATTATCTTCAATCCGAAATTAAATTGTTGGCCAACGCGTTATTATATTAGATTTCTTTACTGCACCACTACCTTATATTATAGTTAACAGCTTGATTCATACAGCGTGCACACCCTCCCCCTCCCCTGTTTCATCCCTTCAAATATCATAAGCACCATATTTTTAAATAATTAGATTTGTATGCAATTTAAAGAGTGTCTTCATACCATACGAACTTCTCTTTTTCAAATGCAAATCACCCTTTTTTACTCTAAATAGTAAATTGTTGAGAATATTTTTTTTAAACTCTGATCTTTATAAACTTAAATATGAACAAGTAGTTTCTGAATAAACTTTAGCATTATGTATTATGGATAAAATTATCCACTATGGTATTACGTTTAAAGTGCTTTATTATTTGAAGATTATAGTAGGTAACTACTAATGATATAATGTAAGCATTTAATATTTTTTTTAATGATCCAAGTTTAATAAGTAGGTACTAGACTGAATAATTAAATTAAATTGAATTTCGAACTAGAAACTTCACTAATTTTTATGTTATAAATTATAAAATGTTTTATACTACTAAGAATTTAAGTTTATATCGTAAGGGGATACTCCTCAAATGGTAAAGAAAATAAATATTTGAAAATATGCCCCTTACAACTTAAGTTTACTTAAGAATGCCAATGATCAGGATTTGGATACATGCATTATTAAAGAATAAAATAAGGTTCATGTTTGTCAATTCACTTATCAACCTGTATATTAAATACTATATAATGTGTCCCATTTATTAATATACGAGTAGTTATGAACTATGAATTATGATATAGTATAATATGAATAATATGTTTTCAGATTTTATTCCAATTCAAAATGTAGGACTGTCGTTGGTGGCCTAAAACTATACTTATCCGGTGGGAGGAATACGTGTTGAAACCTTTTCGTAGGATTTAATATTTTAGAAAAGATATTCCGCAAAAATAATTTTTATAAAATCTAATTAGCGGCGTTGAAGCGTAGAAAGGGATGGAACTATTTCGATGAAGTACGAACTATTTTAATCATGTTCAGGTTTTATGAAGTTCTTCGAGAAAAAAACTACATACATTTAAGTAATTACTTTCCGTCATAAGCAATAAAGTCGGGATCGCTTTGTGATCGACTGTTTTTTCAGAATTAGTTACCGCTATATACACGTGTACTTAGGTATTCAACTTAAATATTTCAATATATATGTCTTATATGTAGGTGAATTCGAGCGAATAATATATTATTGAGACGTCGAAAAATATGATTCCGTTCGCATAAGAGTGCCTATACAATAGAAAGTAGGTTTGATTTATGGAATTGCATAGTATCGGCTATATTATAGACAAAGACGAAACACGCGAGCGTAGTATCCGGACTTTGAGAGTGCAAACTTACTTAATATTTAAAAAGGAGGGCCGTTTATTCAAAGTCGTTTTCGTACTAGTATAAAAGTACATTCAATTCCGTCTAAATATTATAGACGTCTATCTGTAGCGTGTTTGGTCCGATATAATATATTAATGTAATATGTAGGTGCCTACTCTGCGGGTGGTAGGTATCTACTACCTACCATGTAAAATAAGACACACACGCATTTTGTGTACATTACACTGCAGGTAGTAATCGATTAAAATTACGTACGTACAAACCAACCAGTAGAAGCTCGACCCAGACCCATATCATTATATTCGTTAGCCAGTCACAGTACTCATATAATTATTACAGGTAACACATTAAATAATTATGTGTATATAGGTATTTTATAAGTGGTAGGCGATGTTGTCGGTCGAAACGTCGGAGACTACAATATTATGACAATAATAATATAATGATACTAATAATAATAAAATAAACTACGAGTACCTACCTACGCGTTATTAATAATTATATACATTTCCAAACAAACTCGTTTAGATGTGATGAAATATTCAACACGGACGGCACAGAAAAAATAGGCGTTTAATATCGAAGGGTCGTTTCTAAGAAGGGTGTTTTCGGGTTTTCCCCACGACATTCGAGAATGATCTCAGGATGTCGACGATTGGATTCGAAAACCTTAACAACGTTTACCGAATGCGTGGTTAAACGAAGGGTTGGTCGTACTATATACGGTATCTTTAAAGTTACTCTATTATTTATAAGTCATCTATGCTAGTCGTTATTTTAATGAAAAATAGATTCCCCCGAGTGTCTTTTCGGTGGCTATAAATGTCTCGGCCACCGCCGTGTCACATACCAAATTGTGGGTTTCGGGGGACGATAAACTTATCGTGGTGTGTTTAGTAAACGGTATGTTTAAAACCAAATGAGATAGAATATGTGTCGTAATAGTGCCATTAAAAATCGTATCGCGTTCGACAACGCAAAATAGGTTTTCGATTTCACTCACTCGACGTGAAATCGTTTCAGAGGAGTTTGTGCGGAAAACACCCTTAGACACGCTGTATATGATGTGTGCATATTGTAAGTAAACGGTTTTATATTATACGCGTGTTGAATAATATGAAACTATATTTCGTAATAAATAATCGTTATTTACTCAGCGACGGTAGATTATCCAGTCTGCAGCTGCGCTCGTCGAAACATTTTTCATTAAAAGCCAAGAAAGAATCCTCGTCAAAAGCAATACGCCACGTTTACGGTAATAGTTTCTAATTTCTATGTCATAAAACAGAATAAAATACCCCCGAAAACGAATAGAGTTTCGACGTCGGTTCATCGGTACCAGCTGAGATAATAATAACGACGATCCTCATGCAGCTAGATGCTGTGGCGTCAAGGGGATTGGGCGATGACGTGTATAGCATACAATAGGAGAACATATTGTACGGAATCGTATAATATTTTTGGCTATAATGGTCTCCAATGAAAAGAAAAAAAACCATGTTCGCGAAATCCGAAGCTCGCAATTGATCAGTGAAATCGAGATGATGACGCAAAGTGCTTACCTATATCATACGTATTACTATCGCCAAATAAAAATTTTTTACCTATCGTTACTAGCACATAGCTCGGTTCAATAGTATATTTTGGCTACCCACGAACAACAATATCGTTGTCGATAAAAGCGAACAATATTTTTTTCGATCATATTATATTTTATTAAAAAAAAAAAAATCAAAACTGTATTTTTAGTATGAATTATAATAGTGCAGGGTATCGGCGGGGAGGAATGATGTTTTTGGATTGAAACTTAGTGGGTCGGGGCTGAATTTAACGTTTCCAGAACGGTTAGTATACACTCAGCAGGTAATTCAGATTCAGTTGGGACAAGCATGACGTTATAAGTTTAATTGGATGAGACTATACTTTCCAAGCACACACCTAGGGCGTCCATGACTTTTTTACGGTAACATTTTCCAGAGCACCTAATTTCGTAGCGTGGCGACCTAGAGTTGTCCCCTAAATTGCTCAGTCTGCCGCAGTGCGATTGTTCTTTTATACGCCGGGGCTTCCTTAAGTTATATAGTTTTTGAAGATTAGTTCTGATACACTTGATGTCCTTTCAGTTTCTATTTGGAGAAAAATCAGAGCGGTACTGTCAGCTATGCTCCCGAAGTGCGTGGAAAACATTTAAAGTATCACCATTAAGACGATATTATTTTTAATTTTCTGCTTACATTTTTCGGGTTATCAAAAAATTGTATTACTTACATAATACTAATTAATTGTACAAGCATTTAAATTTGTTCGTTAATAACCGATTATGGGATTTTTTTTAAGTCAACCCTTTATAGCTTTTTCATTACTTTTAATACCTACTTCCAAACTAGGTTAAGATCTAGTCTTAATCTCTATTATATAATACCTTATATTAACTGTATTCTTAGTCCGTCGTTTAAAGTGAATCCTAATAAATTTAAAAATATTCTCATCTCTGTCCTTATAGGTATTCGATATTGACGTAGTTTTAGAAGTTATTTCAGAAATATCAAGTGAAAAAAACTTTTTCACTGTTCAGCGTCACACTGTCGATCATAATTTGTCAACAAGCATTGACTGGAAACGATCGCAAGGAGTACCGTCCGAAAATTGTATTATACGTCACTTTAAATAAGTTACATAATAATTCAAGTTTATCTGCGCTCTCACTGCATATTTATTCGAATAGAGCATTAACCACACAACAATATTTTACATTACCTACGCTGAGGATTTAACCGATCGAACGCATGTCACATTTATTTTCACGAGTACACGGCATTTAAATAAGTAATTATAAAATGGTTGATTAATTAATGTTAGACGAATATATTATATTTGAATGATAATAAAACGCAATACAGCGTTTTAATATTAGCAAACAAGTGATATAAGATAAGTCGTGGATAAGTAAATGATCAATTAATAATTATAGATACAATATTAATTATTAGGTATTATTTTTTATGATTGAAAAAAATGGGAGTTCAAATTATCTTACGAAATGTAACGACGAAGTGGTCGATTTTCAGTGGTTCTAGCAAGAGGCTTGTGATACGGAAAGGAAGAGGATGAAGCGACAATCGAGAGGGAATTTCGAAAGGAATTGTAGATACCTATAGTTAGTAAGTGAGTCTATTTTGCCATTTATTCCGATAAGTTGTTATTGTAATACTTATTATCATAAGCCTGTCGCATAATAAAATATTTTTATATTTTTAAATAATTATGTGTACGGACTTTTTGTCCTTAAAAATGTCAATCTGATTTGTGATCCCTTTTCGGATTACCATAATTAACATAAACTGAACCCCTATAATACACAAAACACAGTCACCTACACCGCTATTCGAATGAATTCGTTAAGACGAGTTCGCCTCTATCGATTTTTTATTTTTGCACTATTTCAGCACGTCGGGTGTAATAATTGACGATGTCGAACGGCGGCGGGAAGTGGGACGAATGACGAACGACTGAACACGTGCAGCGTGGATGAAATGCAAAAAAAGACGTATTCTCCACACGTGTGGGGGTGTGTGAGTGCGTATAACTTATACCGTTGTACTCTATTGGGTCATATTATGATGCGATCGTCGAGCGGCAGAGACAATGGGGCGATAATCTCGAAGTCTGAGACAATATTAATGATATGATCGATAACGCGTAAGTACCTGCCTGTATGCATAATATAATGTGACACGATGTAGGTCTATAAACTATATAGTATGTCGCTGTATCAATTAATCATAATAATATTATACAATATAATAATATATCGTTTCCTTCGGTGACCAGCAGGCAACGCGACGTATGCAATATTACAATGTATCATTATGGCACAATGACGTGCCGGAAGTGGTGGCGTGCTACGTTTCCTGTCAAATCTCGTTGGCGACTTAAATAATTAGCCCGTCAGTCGCTAATACGATCGATCCACAGAAACTTACAATCGGTTGCGGTCACTCAGGCTGACGTCGACGAAAGGTTTTATATTACGTTGTTATTATTATTAGGTCTGTTTTTCTTACGTATTATAATATTATACTCACACACGGCGTGTTCACGTATATGTCCATTTTTTTTATAAATTAAATTACAATACTTTGATGCTGTCATAACGTGTTATAGCTATTACACGTCCCACATTATTCAACGCTGCGTTCTAAAAATCAAATTTGCTTATTGAGGGTATTTAAAACAGTTTTTTTACAAATAATTTTACATCAGTTTGTGGGTTTGTGATCATTTTTTTGACACAACCGTCGAACAAACTAACAAAAAATGAATTATTTATGAGCATTTAAAATTTAGATGAGCAGAGTAGTGCAACGAAAATTCTTTCCAAGGTCTATAGGGAAGGATATTCGGCTATAGATGCACCACTAATTTAATATTTGATTGGTTATATAAACAGTAGAGACATTGATACAATGTTCTTTATATATTTATCAGAATAATAATAATATAAAAAGTAAAAACTGTGTTTTTTTTTTTTGCAAAAATTGTTAAAAAAGACACTAACATCAACCGACATAGCAAGTATCTTGCATTAAAAAAAAACCCCTTACCGTTTTATATATATTGTACGTTTTACCTTTTTTTGTGTTCATGTTTACCGTTTTTCAGTGGCACAACTAGGATTCATATTTGAAGGGAAGGAAGGGGGTTAAAGTTACAACACCACCTAGTTGCACTACTGTTTCCACCGCAGAAACTATACATTTAGATTGTATCACTCGTATATAATTCATAACCGACCTCTGTCTATTTTCTGTACATACATTTTAAACGTATCATCTAACGGGTTTGAATACCTAATGGTCCTTTATTGTTAATTCAACTTTAAAAATATTTACATAAATTATCCCCATAAACTTGGGATTTCTGGCAGCAAAAAAAAAACTAAATTTTAAATTTTAAATTTTTTGGATTTCAGTAGTTAAAAAAAAAATAATCGATAGTCGCATATTGTTTTTAGAGTTTTCAAATATCACACGTTTATTTCGGGATCAGAAACCACACAATCTTTCCATAGTCACATTTCAAAAACTGCGAACAAAAAAAAAAATGTATAAATGACGGTGGGTTACTGGAACACTCAGCACCATATTATACACTCGCCGCCATTTCCTCTCGAGTGCGATGACGGGTCTTATTTCATATTAGCAGCGAGCATATTATTATGACGTCAAGTATAATTATTATTATTTTGTCGTCCTGTTCAACAGTTGGACCCGGTAATGACTATTTTTGTGCGAACGGATTCGTGTTACGCCCCGTCAAAGAATAAAGTATCTGTTCTCACTCTCTATAACGACCATTTTGCAAGACTTCAGTATATATTCACTCCATCAATAGAATCCGATTTGTCGCTCCGTTCGCCATTTTCGCACCCTATTATTCGTCCGTTCCGTCTCGCGTTACTAATTTTATTATTTCCATCGTGTTTCCATCGCACATACCCGGACGGCGACGGGTGGAGGCCGTTTTATTCAACGGCGAGCTCTTATTTATACTTCGGCTGCAGCGGCCTACCCGACAAATATCATGCTCCACATATAAATGCGATTTTCCTTTCAACCCGAAATCTCGTTTTGATTATGAGACCGACCATGAGTCCGAATCCTTCAATTTACAGCCGCAATCGTATGTCAAAAGAACACGGGCGAGTGTCAGAAAAAAGTTATCAGCAAAATATTATGTAATTTCCTGCGCGAGTCCGAGACATGCTACGTCTAACGACTTTTGTTCATAACAATATTTAAATTGTCTTCTTTATGCACACATAATCTATTAAAATTTTCAGTTCTTTGACGTATCACAGACAAAATATTATAATATTATAGAATGTCTAGCCATGGCCGCGAGTCACAGGCGCATGTGATGGGTGTGCAACTTAGCATCTCAAATAATTCTAAAGCTAATACAGTGAACTAATCGCCATAAGTAAAATAAATTCAAATTAATCTAACTTGGCCATGTCGAAAAAATAATTTCTTAATACATTGGAGAGTGGGTTGAACCTTCAAACATTCCCCTGTATGCGTGTCTGCATAGTAGTATTTATTACGTACACCTGCTCCCTGCTGTGTCATAATATTGTCATGAATAATTCGCTTGAACATTTTTCAGTTTACCTTAGTTAATATAAATAATAATAATCGTAAAATAGATACACTACACTTATAATACTTGGTGGTTCTTTTAACGGCAGCGAACGCTATTTTGAAAAGCATAAAATCGGTCTTTTGAAAATCATCCAATACGATAACATTTTCATTTATTCCCTTTATTGTATAGGTTTGTCGTTTTGTCCTGACCGGAACATTTTTCCAAAAGTTTAGAGATATAAAAATATATCGACTGTCGGATTTACAGTTTTAAATCGAACCTCAGACGAATTTCACAAGCTATGAATTTCTTCGCGAAGCAGTCACCCAAAGAGATGTTTTCTAACAGCTCTCATAATAATGATATTACGTCGCGTTTTTAATCGCAACAAGACGTATTCGAGGTCTCCTCGTTTTGTCGCCGTTTATACAGAGTTTTGTCTCGTTCCACGAGTTCTATGTCAAACGATTCACAAACGTCTATAATTTCTTGTTTTGTTAATGACGAATTTTACCCTCTTTCCGGTATTTTGTTTTTCTCTCGTCGTCGCGTACGACGAAACTGCTGTAGATTTCGACGAGGACCTATTATAAATCTATATTTGTATATTGAGCATACTGGGTCTTGTTTGATTCGTATTATATTATTATTATTATTGTTATTATATAACGTTGTCTGTGTTTTATAATTTATTTCACTGCGTTCTTCGTTAGTCGTTTTCTGCGGTGCGTGCATCGCGCGTTTAATAAAGTTTGGTAATGAGGTTACTTGTTTATATAGCGGCTTTAGTTACTTTTGAATCGCGCATGACGTACAATATTATTATGATTTGTGACGCGATAAGTAACCAGCTGCAAGAACGAGTGATGAACACGTATGGTGTGCACTGAATATTAAGAAAGTATTTTGTATTTCCCCGTACTGGAGGTGCCGAGGTGGCATGTCCGTACTCAAATCACTAGGTATGCCCAATTCGAAAAAATCACATTAAGCACATTTCAAATGCTATTCATTTTTCGTCAAAACAACCTTAGCGGCTGTCAAAAATTAAAGTACTTCTAACGGTTCGATTAAAAAAAAGTAACGATGTTTGAATTGGTAAACAAGTCTAATTTGCATTGGTTTTAAGTGTTTTAACATGCATTTTATATTTTTTAATATATTCACTATTAAAAATTGACAAGTTTATAAAATGTAAAATATGTATTTCCGTCAAGAATTTGCTAAAATTGAAAAAGTTCTCAGACCGATGAAAAGTAAACTTGTTTACCAATTCAATTATTTTTACATTTTCAAATAAATCAAAAGACTGGAAATACATTAATTTTTTTGGTCGTACAGCTATTTCACGTCTATAAATTGGTTTTGCATATTTTGATCTAACGACTTAATGACATGTGCATGTGGGTGTATAATATGTGAGATGTGGGTGATTGGTGGGAACTATACACACACTAATGATCATTTATTACACACAAATACGAGCAGTGACAAAAGTAACAAAAGAATTGCCTATAATGAACCCCTTAAAAATTTATATTTTCAATCCCTTTAAATCAGTATTCGTTTATTCGTATATTATTTTATATTTTAAATATAACCAAAAGCGGACATTGATCGATAATAATATATATTATTGTTACGTACCTGCTTATTTCATTAAATAAATTTTAATAAAAACTTAAAATACTCTTTATTATTTGCTGGTATACTATCAACATTTAAGTGTTTTTTTTTTTCATAATATTTGAAGACATTAATATTTGAGTGGATATGTGGACCCGCATTTTGAAGTGGTACTCCTGTGCCGTTACACTCCGCTCATATCTAAACTTTAAAATATAGGTACTTATATAACTAGTTGACTAGGTACCTACTTGTCTGTAATTCGATTTGTATACATTGAAATGCTCCAAAAAATATTATGTTGTAATGTGATGATCAAAAAAAAACAAGCTTAAAAAATGAAAACGATAATATACCTACTGCATGTAATCAATTATTTTGAAAAACATTAATGATTTTCAAAACAATTAGAGTTGTACGGTAAAAGAGTCATAATTTGGTTTATTTTGTGATACAAAAACCGACAAATCACCGACATGTAGCTAGAATCACGGTTGTAATATCAAGCATAACACTTTTGTACACTCGAAAAGTATAGTAAGCGATTATTAGCTACTCTTTCCGCGTGCCGCTTACAAATGAGTTATGATTCGTTGAATGCTGATATTATATTATGTCACAAGTAAACATACGTATGTACGTAATGTCGTTTCACATTAGGAAAAAATCCAATAATTTTCTTTCGACCTCAATCGATAGATTTATATATTATTATTATTTTTTTTTAGAAAATTGAGTCACGCTTTGAAAATAATAAAACAGATTTCCGATCGAATTTTCAAGGTTCCGCAAATATACTTTTCTAGTCACACGATATTACGAAAAATAATAAAACTGTATAAAACTTCAACATATAATGTTCAGACGTGGGCGTACGTATATATACATTATACAGGGTGATTTGCCAAACATGCTCACTCCCCTCTTTTTACATTAATAATTAATTGGTTAAAAACTTAATTTTGGTGGTTATAAGCATAAATTTATAATCAACGAAAATATTTTCAAATCCTGTAATTTTCTACAGCTTAAAGAGTGTCACGTGATGGTGCAAATTCCTTTTTTCAGAGAGTATTCTTCTTTTTACTGTAAATTATTTAGTTAATCATTTTTCTAAAACTATAAAATATTGATGATTCTAAATTGATATCCGAAGAAGTTGTTTCTGAGTTATTATGCTTCAAAGTTCAAATATTGACAATAGTAGTAATAGCACATTATGATAGCGATTATGCTGAATCTGGCTTAGCACTTGTGAGGCTATAATGATT